GGGCCCGGGCGGGGACGCTATTGTCAGCATACCCAGGCCCCCTAGCATCAGAGGGGACATCACCGTTCTCCAGCCGGGGAACGGGCAGAGGCTGCTGCTACTGGTCAGGCGCAGATGCAGGCACTGGAACCAAGGCGGCATCGGCGCACCGGCCGACCTGCTCCGAAACAGGACCTGAAATAGACACAGGGACAGAGACAGGCACCAAGGGGGTGTCGGCGCACCAGGAGTTCGGAGTGTCGGCAGGGACACCACCGTGCCCAGGCCAGAGAGCCTGTGGAGACTGCATCTTGAAGCAGCCGCTGCCGGGGCTTGGACTGCGGAGGCTGCAGCTGGCGTCTTGCTCGAGAGGAGGACTGCCCCAAATGGAGACAGGGTACAGGAATGGCAGCCCCAGTTGACGACCTCCTCCTGGTCCGCCGTTTCCCTGGACCCCCAGGGCAGATAGCCCACCGGGTTCCCTCGAAGGGAGAGGGGCTCTGTGCTGGGTGAGAGAGCGGATCAGCCATCTGGGCCTTGAGTTCACTGAAAATGTCCTGGGCTTCAGCAGGGCTCAGGCAGGTCCCCAAGGGCAGGGACTCAGGAGCAAGGGAGTAAACCCCTACTCTGAGTGTAGTCTCCCCGGGAGAATCGTCCGACCAGTAAGACTCAGATAAAGCCTCCTCTCTTAGCTCCCTTACCTGGAGCAGCATGTCCTCGACGACTGGGAGGTGTGCCAGATGGGGCCAGTTGCGGATCAGCGCCTCCACGCGAGCACATATCCGTATGCGCTCTGCAGAGTCCTGAAGATTATAAAAATAGTGGCAGAAACCGCTTAAATCCGACCACAACTCCATCACCTCATCTCTCTCGCTGGCTGAGTTCATTTTGGCCAGATTGTACTGTCAGAAACGGCGCGCGATGCGGCCGAAACGTGTTAGGTGAACTCAATTAACTAGCCAGACGAGGAAGTGTAAAACAAAACCCGTCTCTTTAATAAGCGAACTAACGTAAACAAAAACAAAAAAAAAAAAAACAAAAAAAACAACAACCATACAAGACACGGTGAAAAACACAAAACTCACATGTCCTTATTAGCAGTCCGAGGTCAGAGCCAGCAAACACATACAACAGAGGTGATCCAAAACACGTTGTCCAAATATAAGTCCGTTAAGCCGATACACCTAGAAGCAGTCCGAGTTTTGAAGGCAAGGCAGAACAGAATAATCCAAGGAAACAGTCCGGGTCAGAAACACAAATACCAAAGCCGAAAATAGTGCTGGAAAGTCAGAGCTAGAGGTGTAAACAGGTGAAAACAATAACGAAGCAGGTGAAACTAATGTGAGTGATGAAGAACGTAAAAAGACCGAAACTAAGGTGAAACAAAAACAGGAAGTAACGTCAAAATAAAAGCTGGATGGGAAGTAGCAGAACCGAATCATGACACATAAGACTTTATCGATCTGTTAGAAAATCACAAGCTACCCAGCAGTACTTCAAATTATAAGAATATAAGATAGTTAAAAGTAGTTCCCTGTTTACCAGCTCCAACATTAAAGTGATTAATACAGTATGTCAATAATTATAATCCAATAATATAATATACATTAATGTTAAATGTGTCATTCAGCATAATATATATACTTTTACTTTTAGTACTTCAAGTGTGTTTTAATGCTAATACTTTTTCACCTTTACTTAGATAACATTTTGAATGCAGGACTTTTACTTAATAACAGAGTATTTTTACACTGTTGTATTGTTACTTTTACTTAGATAAGAGATCAGATTACTTCTTCCGCCACTGGTTTTTATTAAACATTACTCAAACAGAAGTAAATTGTGCTTTTTGGGAACAGTTTTCAGCAACACATTTGGTGGTTATAAAGTATTTCCTGCAGCAGATCGGTGAATGTAGGATTGAGTCAGTATAATCCACAATGTCTGTACTGAAGGAACATGTCAACCAGGGGAGCACTGTGTCTGGAAAATACAGACTATAACAAACTTTAACTTTTAACATAGATTAATAGTCTTCAGTCTTCTACAGTGTTTTGTCTTCGTGTGTTTTTGAGGTTGTTTGTTTTCTCTGCAGTCATGAGAACTCCAGTGGCTACTACCGCACATCTGTCTACTTCCTGTCCAAGGTCTTTGCTGATCTAATTCCCAACCGCATCATCCCCATCTTTGTTTTTTCATCCATCGCCTACTATATGATGGGTAATTTACTGTTACAAAAACAGCAACACACCACATCATGCACATAAAGAGACTGCCTTGACAAGTGGTGTTTATTTACAGTATATGACTATTGTACTTGATCTGCTCTTAGCACAAGCTTGGTTTTATCGCAAAGAGGCTCAGGTTTTGAGAAATGAAATCTAGATGACAGTGTGATCGCTTTTCTTTTCACCATAACACCACGGTTTTGAGAAATGAAATCTAGATGACACCATATCTGACCCCACCAGGAGGAGGTTGCTGAAAGCAGCACCCTTGAGTGTATTGAAATGCTCATTCTTGTTTTCTCATTACCGCTCCTTCAGGGTTGAAGCCTGCCTTTGAGGCCTTCCTGTGTTTTGCTCTGACCATGTCTCTGGTCAGTCTGGCAGCAGTCAGTCTGGCCTTCCTCATCTCAGCGAGTGTTTCCTCATTTGCCATGGCTAATATTCTCATTGCTCTACCCTTTGTCTTTATGATGGTGAGAAAGACGTACCTTATATCATATACAGTATCCGCTGCTGTAATTAATATATGGTAATATGTAGTCTCACTTTTGCTAGTGTACAGTACAGTTTTCTTCCTTCTGTTTTAGGTTTTTGGTGGTTTTCTTGTCAATCTCAATACCATGCTGAACTGGCTTTCCTGGCTGAAATGGATCAGCATCTTCAGATATGGGCTAAATGTAAGATATATAAAATAAAGCATGAGCAGAAGGATGTGTCTGGGATCAGCAGGACACAGTTTGACTGGCCTAATCTCCTGTGTTCTCTCAGGCTGCATTCATCAACGAATTGAAAGGACAGGTGTTCTACAGCAATGGCACCATGTGAGTGTGATAACATAGCCACTTTTTAAAACACATCAACCCCCCAACACACACACACACACA